AAATTTTTTTCTTTTTTTTTTTTTTTTTTTTTTTGAGTTTTTTTGTTATAGTGTGCATGTGCTCGCCAGAGAGAGACAGAGAGAGAGAAAGTGAGAAATCGCACCCCCCCAGGGGGGGATGACCACGCTGCAGTCCCTTCTCCATTCTCCTCTCAGGATCTTGGGAATGCACGCACAAGTACCTGGCATGAGTTTAAGCCACCGGGCGGATCCGGGACTTGAACCATGGTCGACTACATGGGAGTCCGGTGTCATAGCCATTACTCCAACTGCTAGTCCCTAAAATTATAAATTTTTTACTTTATAGTTTTTGGTGTGTTTCCTCTGGCTAGTTTCAAAACCATGAACATGTCAACTTAATGTTTACTTCTGCGTTTGAAGAACTGTCCACAGTTAAATGAGTACTTTCTTCTTGAATTACAGTTTGGCAGTTCTTTGTTTCTAGTCTATCTTTGCTTTTTGTCTTTCTGTAAAGATGTCGTGCTGTACACCCACAGAGTGAGTCCACGGTGCAGACGCTGTTCACTGTGTTGGTCTTTGGGTTAACGTCAGGGAGCTGCCCTTGGGTACTCATTTCCCCTACTCTCGCTCTTGCAGGCTTGTCTGTGTTCTCCAGTGTCGAAGGAGAGTCCGACAAGTATGTATGCATTTCGTGAATCACGTGGCCCTTGCCCACGTGGGGTGCACGCTGTCCCCTCCGCAGCCCACCCAACTGCATCTGCATGGCCGGCCCCATATTCTCTCCTACTCCTCCACACACCCCATCCGTCCTCTCGGTCCCAGCTTATCCTTAAAGTCTGTCTTGTGCAGAACCGTTTCTGTGGGGCCTTTCCTCACACCCCTGCTCTGTACCTCGAGTGCTTTTATCCCCTCTGCCGTTGGCTCTCACGCAGGACGCCATCAGAGCCATTAATAACAGCATGTTGTCTCAAGAGGGACGTCCAAGCTGCGGGTAGCTCCCAGGCACTGGCGGGCAGAAAGGATGCACCGGCTGTTCTGTGGACAGTCAGGGCTGGGGAACTGCCCGTCCTGCCTCAGTAGCAGCCCCGGGGTCGGTAGCGGGTCCTGTTCCCTGCGGGTGGGCGCTCTGCTCTCCTCCATCCCCCAGCCTGTGAGATCCCTCTTACAGAGAGGAAAAGCCCACCAAAGCCGCCCTTGGGAGCCCAGGTCTGAAGGTGGTTTTGGCCGCTGCTATCTCTTTGTTTTCTAGGTATGAAGCCCATTCCTGTAACTTCTTTCTCTTCCCTACGACGTTTGGGGTTTTGGATTCAGAATTCTCTTTCCAGGCCTCTAGTGTTCAGTTTTTGAATCAGTATGGCTTCAATTATAACAAGGTACGACCCCGATGCCGGAAACAGGAGTGTCTTGGGAGTTTTCGAACCTGAGCGGCCTGCGTGGGCCATTCCCCTTCGTCTTCACTCCGCTCCTGGCACAGGGAGACCTGACTCCTCCCTTGTTCTGTTCCTGTCTTAGTTTCTCAAAAATGGAATCCCATACATGAATGAAGAACAGGAGAAGAAAATCAAACACAACCTCCTGACCGGGAGCTGGAAAGTTCGCAGGTAAGGTCTGTCGTCGGCATGTCTCTTGCTGTTTTGCTGCATTCTCTGGGCGGCGTCCTGGGGTGCAGTGACCACCCTTAGCTGGCCACTCCCTTCCTGCCCTGGAGGTGAGAGCACAGGGCCATTAGCCGTCCCCTCCATCACTTCCGCTCCCGTCTGATGGTAAGTGCTTTGCATCGTATGGGCTGTTAGTGTTTCAAATGAAAAAAGAGGAAAACTGACTTAATTTGGTGCCCAAATTAGAAACAGAAGTTGCCCTCGGATGCTAGAAGTGTGGATCCAGCCGCGTCTGCCGGGCCGGAGACACTGCGTTGGTGTCTGGTGTGTCTTCTCGAGGGAATTCAGGGGAAACGCTCGGCTAGCCCTGAGTGCCGGGTGTGCTGGGCACTGACTGACTGACGCCCTGGCTGGGCCGCGATCGCGCCATCGCCTTGGCGTTCCTGACCCTGTTGGGCCCGAGGCTGGTCTGTGTCTCTCATGTCGTGTGTCTCTGGCCTCTCGTGCCAGTCTTTGTTCCTGAGGTCTCATTGCCATGGAGCTGGGGTGGAGGACGAGCGCTGAACAGCAGCGTTGTGTGGGGAATGCCACTGGGGACCCCCGGGCAGTCAGCGCCATCAGCCGGTTGCTGGCTTTGTCTAAGCCATCTAAGCCCTTCCGGCTTTAGAGTCTTTGTCTTCAGAAGGGATTAAAGGGGCTTCCATTAGACAGCTTTGAACTGTGCTCTGAAACATGGTGGCTATCTGGTCTGAGAATTGTCTCCCATAATGCTGGAGTGTTTAGTTTGCTTTTGTTTTTGATGCCAGTTTTCATATGAAAATGTAGCTCTTTGTAAGGGAAAGACACAATTCCAATTTTTTTTTTTTGAGAGGTTTTTGCTATAGGGCGCGTGTGCTCGCCAGACAGACAGAGAGAGACATAGAGACAGAAAGCAGGAAATCCCCCCGGGGGGGAGTGGCCATGCTGCAATCCCTTCTCCTCTCAGGATCTTGGGTACGCACGCGCACGCACACGCACCCGGCGTGAGTTTAAGCCACCAGGTCCGGGACTCGAACCACGGTCGACTACGTGGGAGTCCAGTGACATAGCCATTATGCTAACTGCTGGTCCCCACAATTCCAATTTTTAACCTGTTTTCAAATGTTGGAGAAAGGTCTCTCATTAAGTCAACATTATGTTCTCATACTTATGACAGAGGACAGGTTTACCCAAGTCCCTGTCTCCTCCTCTTTCCTCAGAGGGCAACTGATCACCTCTGGAAGCTGACTAAAGAGGTGGTCCTGACAGTAATGCTTAGAACAGCATGGACCCCAATACTTTTTCCTCCCTCACCCCAGTGGAGCCGAAAGGGGCTGGATGTATTCCTGTGCAGCTGTGAAAGAAGACAAGCCCAATATTTACCTTCTTCTTAAAAAAAAAAAATGACACAGAGGATAAATGGTCTTTTTTCTTTCTTTCTTTTTTTTTTTAATTCATCAGAGGGTGTGGGCACTCTCTGGAGAGGCAGAAAGCGCGAAAGTGAAAAAGCGCCCTCTCCACCCTCCCATGGAGAATCGTCACCCCGCAACCCCGTCCACTCCAGTTCTTGCTCTTTTTGAGATTTTTCCCCACGTATGTCGGGCGTGTTTCTCAGGCCACCAGGTCTGGGACGCCAACCGCTGGTCGGCCCCGGGAGATCCAGCTGCCATAACTGCCACGGCAGCAGCTGGCCAGAAAAATGGTCTGTCTTCCGTCCACTTTGTTCATGATGTTGCAGCTTCAGAGCTGAAGGCCACAGAAACCCCTCAGTGCTCACGCAGTCCAAGGCCTCGGTGCCATTCTCCAGCGTTTCCGCTTCTCTGTGCCTGTTTTCAGCTCTCTAGATAAAGACCAAATCAAGGCGGTGATCGATGAAGTGACACGGTGGCTGGACCAGGCCGAGGAAGGCGACTGGATGACCCTTCCTGGTATCACCGGTACGCAGGACGTAATCACGGGCCACCTGGGCACACGGGGACAGGTCACTGCCACATACCAGGAGTTGAGGGAAGTGTCCCCTGTCTGTCCCACTGATCTGGTCACTGGTGCTGGTGACTGAATCTGATGCTAGCATGTGCTCAGTAGATACATAGTCCTTGGGTCAGAGAGAGATCTGACCTAAGTGCTGAAGCCAGAGGCTTTCCAGCCTATGTGACTGTCAAGACCCAGGAAGACGACCTCCATTCCTGAGCCGGCATTTGCAGTCCCGAGTGCCCGTGTCCTCTGATCTCGCTGACTGGTTACAGTGAGTTTTCCCCACAGGGCAGTGTGGGACCACAGCGGGCACTTCTCAGCCTGTCTGTGGGCCCGGGACTCTGTCAGACCCTCGCTAGCAGGCCCCGGAGGCCAGCACTAACTTCTGGTGTCAGCTATCACTTAACATTGCCCTTGTGCCATTTGCCCCGGCACCACAAAAATGGCAGGCAAAGCTGCCGGCCCCTCAGCACAGCTAGGACGGGGCACCAGACGGTGCTGGTGGAGATCTTGGGTAGTTCATTGCCATTTGCTCTCAGTAGTGCCCCTCACCCCCACAAGAAAAGCCAGTTTTACTTAAGCACCTCCTTGGTGAAGAACTAGCACTCCCAGTTATATGAGTCTCGGCTTTTGGGGCCAGCTGGGGGCATGGAGGTTAGGGTGGCTGGATCCCACATGGCCAACTGCAAGGTTTGAGTCCCAGACCTGGCAGCTTAAAAAACAAGCCGGGCATGTGTACATGCATGTCCACCCAAAATCCTGAGAGGAGAATGGAGGAGAAGGGAAATCCCCCGGGGGGTGATTTCTTACTTTCCCTCTCTCTCACTGACTGTCTCTGATGAGCACATGTACCCTGTAACAAAAAACTAAAAAGTATCTCAGCCTTGATTGCTCATCTTTTTTTTTTTTTTTCTTTTTTAAAGTTTTTGTTATAGGGTACCTACCACGTGTACTCACCAGAGGTGGGGAGAGAGAAGAGGGGAGGGAGAGGGGAGGGGAAAGGAGAGGCGAGAAAGAGAAGAGAGAGCGCCCCCCAGAAGGGATGGCCCTGCTGCAGTCCCTTTTCCCCCAGCCTCCTGTGAGGATTTCGGACATGCATGCACATATACCTGGCATGATTCTCAGACTGCCATGTGTGGGGCTCAAACCATGAAGCTGGCCTTATACGATCCAGTGCTTTAACCTCTATGCCACCCGCTGGTCCCAGATCACTCATCTTTTAAATATTTTAAGTCTTGGGGTTGGCAGGTGGTGTGGTGGTTAAGGGCGCTGGACTCCCACATGGCCGACTACGGCTCAAGTCCCAGACCTGGCGGCTTGCTTTCTCACTTTCTCTCCCTCTCTCCCCCACTCTCTGGTCAAATTAAAATACATACATACATATGTACATAAAATTAAATAAAATAATTTTTTTTGAGAGCTTTTCGCTATAAGGCGCGTGCACTTGCCAGACAGACAGACAGAGACATAGAGACAGAAAACGAGAAATCACCCACCAGGGGGGATGGTCATGCCGCATTCCCCTCTCCTCCATTCTCCTCTCAGGATCTTGGGCACGCATGCACACGCACCTGGCATGAGTTTTAAGCAGCGCGAACCATGGTCGCCTACGTGGGAGTCCAGCGACATAGCCACTACGCTAACTGCTGGTTCCCTAAATAAAATAATTTTTTAAAAAGTTGTAAGTCTCCATGAAAGCATGGAAAAATAAAAAGCCTGCATGAAACAGCTGCTGCATGTGAAAGTACCGTGGTCAGGGGAGGAGGAGTATTTGTGCGGTATTTTGAGTTGAGCAGTAAAATTGGCTGCTTTTTTTCTCCCCATGGGATATCATTTTTACTAGAAATAACTACAATTGTTTTTATTTATTTAATTTTATTTATTCATTCATTTATTTTAATTTGACCAGAGAAAGACACACAGAGAGATGGAAAGTGAGAAAGCAAGCCACCAGGTCCAGGACTCGAACCGCAGTTGGCCATGTGGGAGTGTGTAGCCTTAACCATCGTGCCACCCTCTGGCTCCTGACTATGATTGTTTAGACTTGAGTATTTCACAGTCATTTTCCCAAATGAAAAAAGTAAGTCTCACTTCAAGGAATATAACTCACAGAATTTACTAGTGATAACATTCAAGCTTTTGATTGAAAATTGGAATTTTGAAGAACTAGCCTCTGCCACCATAGGCTAGTCAGTTTCCCAATACTAAGCCTTTCTTCCTTTTTTTTTAAAAAAAAAAATTATTTAATTTAATTAATTTATTTTATTTGACACCAGAGAGAGAGAGAGAAAGAGAGAGAGAGAAAGGAAGTGAGAAAGCAAGCTACTAGCAAGCGACTAGGTCCAGGACTCAAACCATGGATGGCCATGTGGAAGTGTCCAGCACTTAACCACCACATCACCTGCTGGTCCCCATCCAAGGCCTTTCTGATGGGCTCAGTGGTCACGTTTACAAAGGTCCTTTCTTGGTGTCGCGTAATGAAGGTGTACGTTTGGAAGCTCTGCAGAACTCTGCAGGTCAGGGTTTTCTAAATAACGGTGTATGGTTTTACAAAATCGTGGGTAAAAGTCTCACTCGGGGCATGATCAGCCAGTGGAGTTTAACAGAAGTAGAACATCCATTGGTGACATTTTTAGATTTCACATTACAACCGAGCGTTAAAGTTTCACCTGGGAGTTTTTGGTGTAGTATTAAAGAATATCCACAGTCACTTGGTAAGACTCGTAATCCTTTTCCTTTTCCATCGGCGTATCTCTCTGAGTCTGGGTTTTCTTCTTATGCTTCAACGACCATAACTTATCTCAACAGTCTGAATGCAGAAGCAGGTGTAAGATTCCAGCCAGATGTTAGCTTTGCAGAAATGTAGAGCAGTGTCATTCTTCTCACTAAATTTGTTTTGGAAAATAGTGATTTTTAAAATATTGTTTTAAACATATACACGGTTTTTGTCATCTTAAAACTTAATTTTTAAAAAAGTATTTAATTTTATTTATTCATTTATTTATTTTAATTTGACCAGAGAGACAGAGAGAGAGAAAGTGAGAAAGGAAGCCACCAGGTCTGGGACTCAAACTGTGATTGGACATGTTGGGAATGTCCAACACCTTAACCACCACACCACCTGCTGGTCCCTTAAAACTTAATTTAAAAAAAATTGAGTTTTGGGGTCAGCAGTTAGTGTAATGGCTATGTCGCTGGACTCCCACGTAGTCGACTGCGGTTCGAGTCCCAGACCCGGTGGCTTAAACTCACGGCGGGTGACTGTGAATGCGTGCCCAAGATCCCAAGAGGAGAAGGGAGGAGTAGGGATTGCGGCGTGACCATCCCCCCTGGGGGGTGATTTCCTGCTTTCTCTCTGTCTCTCTCTGTCTGTCTGGCGAGCGCATGCGCCCTATAGCAAAAACCTCCCCCCCCCAAAAAAAAAAATTTGAGTTTTAATTTTTTTTTTTAATTTTTTTATTTATTCATTCATTTACTTTTAATCTGAGAGAGAGAGAGAGTTTTAACTTCCAACATGGCTTAGATCAATGACTTTAACCCACACAAACAAAACTCTTTGGTGACTTCAATTTAAGAGATGAAAGTACCTGGAGAATGCTGCCCGAGGTCATGCTGTGACAGCCCTGGCCTCCTGTGGCTCCCGGTGTAGGCACCCCTGAGGCTCAGTCTTCTCCCTTTGCTCCACCATCTCACAGCACCTGTTCCCCCGGGCTCCTCTTCCGGAGGAAGCGCAGTGCCGTTCCAGGTCCTGTTACACCTGTTTCCTTGCCGCAGGGTTCCAGGCCTTTGAGGTCCAGCTGGTGCTGAGGCAGGCTCTCCCCAATGTCTGGACGGTGCTGAAAGATCGGGGGGTGAGTTCTCGTGGGAATGGGGTGTCCCTAGTGGCCCGTTATTATTCTCATGAGTCAGATGCGGCCTTCATGGAAGGCTTCTCTCTCCTGTTTTCTCTTTTTTCTCTCATTTCGAGATGAAGAGTCATTTCTTCGGGCTTTGTTCCCACAAGCCAGACTGGGGGAGCTTGTCTCCTCTTCTCATTTCAGGTGATAGTGAAGAAAGTGAGTAAACAGCATCGCTGGTACCTCGAGAACACCTCTTGTGACCGAGAGAGCTGCTGGAAGGAGAGGATTCTTCTCTCTGCGAGGGGTTTTTCTGTCTTTTTCCAGATGCTGGTAAAAGCCCAGAAGGTAGGGACAAGTATGTGTTCTTTTGACTTTTAGTAGTCTTTTGTATTTCTGGTGGTAGATGCTGAAGGATCCTTCAACAGTTAGATAAGATTCTTTAAGGGACTGTTCCTGAGGCTGGCAGGTGGTGTGGTGGCTTAAGGCACTGGACCCCCCCCATGACCGACTGTTGTCCACGTCCCTGACCTGGTGGTTCGCTCTCTTTCTCTCTCTCACATTCTGTCCCTCTCTGGTCAAATTAAAATACATACATAAATAAAGTTAAATAAAGTAATTCTTAAAATAAAAGATAATCATTTCTTTGTCCTTGATCACTGGCTTCCTGGATCTAGCCTTGCTTTCACTAAATCATGATACATTAATTTGGGGAAAGACTGTCGGTATGGAGTATTTGTTTCTTTGCCCCGCTTTATTTTTCCTTTCTTTTTTAAAAAAAAAAATTAAATTTAACTTTATTTTAATTATTTATTTGACCAGAGAGGGACACAGAGAGAGAGAGAGATGGAAAGTGAGAAAGCAAGCCATCAGGTTCAGGACTTGAACCATGGTTGGCCATGTGGGAGTCCAGTGCCCTTAACCACCATGTCCCCCCTGCCGGCCCCTTCTTTAAAATTTCAGTTAAATAGGAAGAATAAGTTTAAGAGATCCCTTGTACAACTCGGTGACAATAGTTAACAATATAATGTATTTTGAGACCCAGCAGTGTTGATGCAGGTAGTGAAGAGTTGCATTAAGCTGGAGCCATGTGGTGGACCTGGGGTCAGTTTCTGGACTAACTTAAAGCTGGAAGCAATGCATTTAGTTCTGGATAGCTGGGAGACTAGGGTAGGTGCTTTGTGGCATGGCAAAACCTGTCAAAAAATTTTTGCCTATCTCTCTTTCTTTCTCTGATTTAAAAAAGGTATTTTTAAAAATGCTAAGACAGTGAAATAAAGGGTTCTCACCATAAATGTTGTAACTATGATACGTGAGTTAGTTAGCTAGGTCTAGTCATTCGAGAGAGAGATGGAAAGTGAGAAAGCAAGCCATCAGGTTCAGGACTTGAACCATGGTTGGCCATGTGGGAGTCCAGTGCCCTTAACCACCATGTCCCCCCTGCCGGCCCCTTCTTTGCCCCTTTCAGTCATGCAGGGATTTCAGTACGAAGTGCTTCCTGGTGTAGATTCCCAGCATGCACCCCGTCTTGCATCCTCCTGTTTGCTTCTCTCTTCTTTGTTTTTAAGCAGTTAAGGTACCTTTATTGGGGCAGAACCAGGGTGAGGATGGACTTGTCAGGTCGCCAGATTACAGTGGCTCTACAGCCACATCCTGTGTGAAAAACTGCTGGTACTCCATGCTTTAAGATTTCATTTCTCTCACGTGTTGGTTTGCTCCAAGTAGCCCTTGGTGGGACACAACATGATGATGGACCTGCTGCATCTCCACGAGAAGTTCTTCCGGCCCCTCCCAGGTAGGGCCGCCCTGGCAGCCTCCTCCCTCTCATCCTGGTTCTCAGCCTGGTGAAGGGTTGGTCCTGAGTCCTGCCCGGGAGGAGGTCCCTAACGGGCACGTTCCCGCTGGAGCCGCGGGTTACCGGGGAGGTCGGGCAGTGGCCTGTGCTCCCCTCTGTCTGTTCCCGTCTTCCCCAGTGGGATGGCAGGAGGTCTTCTCAAGGGAAAAAGCTTCAAATTCCCCTTCTTGAAATGTTTCCCACTCATTGTGTAAAAATTGGCAAAGGCAGGAGCACGTGAAGGAGAGAAGGCACCTTCAGTCAGCTCTAATGCTAACACTTCTGCTTTTCTCCTCCATTTTGGGTTTTTACATATTTGATTACGTGTATGTACAATTTTATGTTTGGTCCTTTTTCCCCCTTTGCTTACTCAGAGCATTATTTTGCGTTGTTAAATACTGAGTGAGCTTTGTTTTAATGTTGAGTGCTGTGCCTGCAGCTCTGCCCACCCTCTGACCGAGGGTGTTGTCGCACACACAGCGCTTAAGACCGCGCCCCAGAGCCAGGGTGGAGCGCGCGTTCAACCCCCGTGTGCACGTGATTGTCAGCAAGTTGCTTTAGCTCATCTTTACCTGTCAGGTGGGGTAATAGCGCCAGCAGCAGAGTCGTGGGGTGGAGGGGATTAGTGACTGTACAGAGAACACTCGATTGGAAGGGTATGAAAATCAGAGAGGTTTCCCTGAGACGTGAGTTGGTAGACACCTGAGTGACTTTGAGCATATTGAGAGAATGAGGGGACAACTTGAGGTGATCTGCTCACCGAAATGCTAAGCAAATGGCTAACCAAAATCATGGCTGGGAAACAAAGGCTATGTGAGCAAGGAAAGGTTACTGTAGCCCCTCGCAGCCCTTCTGTGAGCCGAGCGCAGTACCGTAATGACGGGCCCTCGCCCTCTGAGTAAGGGGCCGCTGCTGCTAGGTGGGAGCCCTCGCGTCCTGGGGAGTAAGGGCAGGTGGGCTGAGGACCCACCACCCTCTCAGCTAGTGCGCAGGCCACAGGGAGGTGCCTGACGGTGCACTGGGGGGTTGCTGAGCGAGCTGGGAGCAAGTACCACAGGGGAGAGTGCAAAGTGGGTGCTGCTGGGGCCCAGGGAAGGGAGGACAGGAGAAGGGCCTCAGGGCCATGTGTGCGTGTTTTCGTTTTCACATAAACTATGTGCAGGTGTGACTGGGACACGTTTTCCTGTAGACGGCTGTTTGACGTCTTGCTTTTTAATCCTTCTATCGGAGTACTTCTCACTATAGCGGTCTTAGTTGACTTTTCTTGGATTTTCCTTGCACGGTCTCTTACAGTGACGGTCTCACTTCTGTGTCCATCGCTAGGGCCGCTTCCCTGTGTCTGTTAGCTAGAACCTCTCAAACTGCCTTAGCTAGCGCTGGCCGCAGAAGGCATGTGAGGCTCACGAAACCACTCAGCCTTTCGTACTGGAAGTGGCGATGGAGGTTGGTTTGAGGTGGAGCCCCCGATGCGGGAGTCAGGACATCTTCTGTCCCTGTGTCGCTTGCTCGCGGTTAGCCAGGGCTGTTGGCCCACTGGCCTAGAGGGCGCGCCGTCCGTCGCCACCAGCAGCTCACTCCCTCTGACTCTCCCCTCAGAAAGCTACGACCAGTTCAAGCAGAATATCCACCACCTGTTTCCTGTTCTCATTGATACCAAGAACGTGACAAAGGACGTCTGGAAGGTAACGGAAGGAGTGGCTTTGTCCACACCAGAGACACATGGCTTCCTTTCCGGTTTGGGTTTGTTTTTGCTTCTTGAGTCCTTTTCTCTTTTAAAGCCAGTGTTGGTTTCCCTTTGTCTTTGGCTCCTCAGGGACATCATGTCCCAGCTTACAGGGATGTTTTTCCATCCCGCATTCAGAGTCTATGTTCTGACTAATTGCGTGCAGTTCTTGGGCTTATTTAGACCGGGCACGGGGCCGACGTATTCTAGAGCTTGGTACATGTCTCCTAAATGTTTGGAACGTGTTTGAAGAGCACCAGGGCACAGGGTCCCCTCGTGAAAAATCTTGAGAAAATGTCTTCTTTACCAAGCCCTGAGGTCACAGGTCTGAACCTGAACGCACATTCGGATCCCTTGGGGAGCTAAATAAAAACGGACACCTTCTTGCCAGACTGGAGCTGGTGGCACTTCTAAAGCCGCTACCCAGAGAAGAGGGATTCAGCGGGCTGAAATGCTTCTTTTTTTTTTTTTTAATACATATATATTTTTTTTGGAGAGTTTTTTTTTTTTTTTTTTTTTTTTTTTTAAGGGGACTG